TATATTTAATTTCTCAACAAAATACACTATACCTAATTATTTTCATTTAATCGAAAAGGAAACAAGAAATGTGAATTCGTAATGTTATATTTAATTTCTCAACAAAATATACAATACCCAAATATCTCCATTTAATCAAAAAGAAAGCAAGAAATTCGAATTCGCAATGTTATAAAGTTTCGTTTAAAGCACCTACACGTATTCGTATATTTTTCTTTTAAAAATGATCCATTACACGCAGCAGCACGGTCTTCTTTTATGTTTTCAAACTGTTTCTCCATCGCCATCAGCCACATTTCAGAATTTACAGTCGGCCACTATATCCTGAATAATTCCCTCTCGATAAAAGAGAAACACGATCCCTTTGAATTTTTCAAAAATTCTTCTCTCTTTCTTAGAAGAGATGCGAAATTTGAGAATTTTCCGCGAAATATTTATCGGAGAAGCTCCTTTGAGACACGCTAACCTACACCCTTTGGGGAGTAATTTCACCCTTTCATCTTTTCTCTCTCCGTAAGAGATGTTTCGGTTTTAAGTAATGGATTTTTACGCGCGATACCTCATAACTGGCGATATTACGAATAGGTAAACGAATCTACATTCAAAAATGAGTCGAAAATGTAAAACAATATTTTTTCATACGAGCCTTCATTTTCATGGAAATCGACGTTAAATGTCTGTGCGTGCACGTATAATGGGATCGCAGATATTTCCAGCACATATTTAAGGTCGATTTTCTCGGAAACAAAGCTTTGTAGGAAAAAATTTTGTTCTACCTTTTCGACTCGGTTTTTCACGTAGAATTACCTCCCTATGATACCTTGTATAATTTCCGACCGAGCAGAGGGAATAAAAGCGTCGAAGTATGGGGAGAAATCTGCCCGTTTCCTCGATTTAAAGGACGGTTTCCCACGAATGTGCTTGACGTATGGAAAATTGCTTATGGGATAATTTTAACTCGTAGGAACACGTTTATCTTTAGTACGCGTCAAATTTCATTTTCGCGTTGTTGACGAAATGAGACTGCTTCTTTCGACTGACTCTCGTCGTCTCTGTTTAAGAAAATCGTTCTGGTCGAGTGTCGCCTCATCGGGCGGTAAATTCTACAGTGTAAACTCCTGTCAACAGGTCGTGTAACGCGTTCACTTTGTCTTTATACGAGGAAACCTACTACGTTCGTTTCGCTGGTATCGAGAAAGCTTGTAGAGTGGTAAATTGGCTCTTCTGTCTGGCGACGTTTCGGGATCAATTTTGCAGTAGAATAAGAAATCACTACATTCCTACGTTTGTTACTGGATCCGTCGTGGAACTTGCAAGGTGATTAATTCGGAAGAATTTTTAATGATGGAGGAAAATTTATTTTCGGAGGTTTATTGTGTAAATTCTTTAACCGAAATGATTAAATATTATAATAATCGTCATTTCATTTTATCATTGCAATTCGATCTTAATTTAATTGTTTTTAGGAAGAATAGCAAATTTTGAAGTAACACAGAAATGTATAATAATAGGTACTGTAGGTGTAATGTTAGGTTATATGAAATTATAAGGTTTTTAGATTTGTCATTATATTCTTAGGTTTATTCTAAAATTTCTAGATTTATTACTATCTATATTGTAGTTACTAAATTTTTATACTTGGTTACTAGGTTTATCTATTCTACTTTAGTTATTAGATTCCTAGATTTTTAAGTAGACTTGCAAATATATGAAAATATTTTTAAATTTATTAACAAATTTTTAAATTTATAATTAACTTTTTAAATCTATTATCAAATATAATGATTTGTAACTAAACTCATGAGTTTGTTACTAAATTTCTCCATTTTAGTAGCAGATTCTTTATTAAATTTCTAAGTCCAAACTTAACTGGATTCTTAGATTTCATATTAAATTTCAAATTTTGTTAGTACATTTCAAAACTTGTTACTACACTTTGGAATTTATTACTAGATTCCTAGATTTCTTACTAGGTTCCTAGATTTATAAAATAAGAAGTCAAATAAGTCGTGTTAATTTCTATCTCGATAAAATAGATTTATTTCAATCCTGTACAACTTCAAACTTGGAACTGCAATTTATTTAAACCAATTTATTACGATCTAATGCGAAAGCTCAAAAAGTGCTGATACAGCGAGGATAATAGATATAACATAATTTATTAAGTAACAGGTATAATTATCGTATTACGCGTAATTATTAATACGTAATTTCGTTATCAGAATGTGCAAGTTTGAAAGGCAGTTGCATCACGTGATCGAACCTGATGGACGTGAAATTATGGCATGGTAAACGAGCGTAATTAAATTTTTACAGCCAACATTACGTTTCCCTTAAGCTATCAGACTCTCGGTCCTTGGAGATAAAATTTAAGAGCATCCAGTGCGTAAACTCTGTCCCATTGGTGTAATCCCACTTAGTTTAATTATTCAGTTGTTTCAAACATTATCGTCGATTGTAGCCTTTTGAACCCAAACATTGTTGGCTTTTCAAATCCTTGGAAAAGCACAATTTATCCTTTGATGTCTGTAACGAATTTAATTAAATATCGCTCTTTGTAAATTTATTTCAAACGATATCAGCCATTTTGCAAAGAATTTTCTCCAAAGAATGTTAATTTATAGATCGGGATGAGTTTGAAATTAATTTATAATTATCGTGCTTTATTAAATGCCTGTTGAAAATATGCGTTATGATGTTCGCCAATTAATTTGACGTCTTTTTAAGCAAATTTCAAATTCTTTATTTGGTTAGGTAATATAATATAATAATTAAAACACGAAATTAAAACATAATTACATAAAGCAATTAGATAAAAATTAAATTGAGAAATAAAATTAAATGGAATTAAATCTGAAGCAAAATTAAATTGAAAAATTAAGTACAAATTGAGGAGTGAAATTGAAATGAGAATGTTGAATAGAAACTTTTAATCGAAACATAAAATCATCAGCCGCGATGTGAATCATGTTTTCGAAATATACACTAGGAGGACTTATGTGCAATTTAATTTACGCTTTTCGCTTTACAACTAATTTTGAAATACGAATATAACACGACTAAATTCACTTTGAAAGCAAGATATACACAATTCAAATGTATCGAAATATCCTTATTCGTAAATATTAGGATTGTGAAGATTAAAATCCAGGAAAAATTCGATAAATTCGAAAAAAGGTTTAAAAAATTACCAAATTCTTTGAAAATTAGTTATTCTAAGAAAATATGCACGTATATACACACGATATAGCACTAATACTATCAACATATATTATCATACATATATTATACACAGCAAATATATTTACTATATAAGAATTACCACACATTTTGTATATTAATTTGACTTATTTTGACATTCGTACTATTATATTTTCTATCATTTCTGTAGTATTTAGTATAATATTAGGAAACATAGAAACTATAGAAGGTATGAAATACAATAGTGTTAGTTTTGGATATTATATTTAAATAAAAATATTATATATTTATTGAACAATATGATATCTGAGGCTACAATTATAGATGAAATACCATAATAATATAATAATAATAATGAAATATAATAATAATAATAATAATAATAATAATAATAATAATAATGAAATACAATAATAATAATAATAATAAATGAAATATAACTAATTCCATAACAGTTTCCTACGTCACTCGTACTTACGTTTGATTGAAACTGACCTATACATATATTCTCTCATTTGTTCCCTTTCCTGTCGTACATCATATATACACAATCTATGATACAGTTCATTTATTACACGCATACTCGTTCTATTCATTCTTTCTTACATATGTAATTTATTTTACATCAATGTATATATATTCAAAAATCTATGTCAACCAGTACCATAAACAGTATCTCAATATTTCTTAGTTGCTATAGTAGTAACTCTATATCTTCTATGGTACTCAATATCATTTATTTATTAACTGTAGCCAACTCCATAACCCAATAAGCGAATCCTCATATCAATATTAAATTTTACATGGACCACTCACAGTTGTCCAATTTGTCAGAAACTTTTCCAACAAAGTCGGAACCAGGTGATCGTGTCATCATTACCCGGCAACTCTCACTCAGAATTGCTCTCCGCGAATTTTCACTCGGTGTTTCCGCGAGAATTCACAATTACCCCGCATTAACACAAAATCCTCGGCTACCCCGCATAAACACAAAACGACCAATTAATCTTCCCCTCGGCTCCCAATAATTTAGGTCAATTATCTCCCTCCGTACGAGACCATCTGCTCTCCTAATACTTACGAACGGCCATGTAAATCAGCCGAAAGCACCCTAGACGTTCTCTCCGTGTCAAACACTTTCCATCCCTATCCGCGAGCCTAACTTTCACCGACCCCTAAAACTACCTGGTCTGCCTATCGTTCTCAACCAACCACGCTCGATTCTGCCAACAGGTTTATTAATTATGTACAAAACGGTACGCAAGGGCGATGCCAGCCTGCAGTACACAATTCTGCCGCAAACGGACCAGTTCGCCTCGTCTGGGTTCCCCCAGACGTCAGGCAAGTCGAGTCCAAGGATCATCAAGTACACCATGGGAACACTGATGATCCTGATCATCCTGTCGTGCGTGGCGACGCCGTTCCTGATGAATCAGAACGATCAGAGCCTGTTCGCCAGCACTGTGCTGGCGATGGGTCGCGTTGGGCACAGCACAATGGGCAGAAACTCGTCGAGGAGTCAGGGGAAAGACGTCGGCGTGAACAAAAGCAGAAGCAGGCTCACGGTGACGACCGCAGCGCCGCCAACGGAAGCGTACAGGAAGCAGGATGTCGAGGACGGGATGACTACGGTGTCGGCGGCGTTGAATGCCGACGAAAGGGAGCCGGGGGAGTTCACCACCACGGGTATGAATTCTTTGTGATAGAATGCTTTGCGTCTTATGTGGTTAGCTGGTAGGCGCCTGGCTTCTTCGGCTGGGCTGGGGAGTTCAAAGATCGCGCATGAGATTGGGAATTATGGTTATGTATGTAGGTACAGTTAGACACGAAGTATTCCGACGTTTATATCCGTTCCGTGGTTATAAGGAAATACGTTCCAGGGTGTTACAGTTCCGAAAAATCCTGTTTTGTTCGCTGAAGTTTCGTGGCCCAGAATTGCGTGAATGCGAAATTTCGTAACTTTGTAATTACGAGTTTAATTATTGTTTCGTTCCATTTGGAGAAATAGGTTGGGATTGTTGTAATTATTGCAGGAATGTTATTAGAAAAAGAAATTGACAATTTAATTCGTAATTTAGAATTATTTGTTTATTTTTGTTATACCCTTAGCTGGTAAATTGGGTCGAGGAATATATGATTTATGTATTTAGTAAAAAATACAAAATGGAAAAGATTTATATCTTTGAAAAGATTACGCGGTTTATCCGAATACTGAGAAGAAAAATTATTATCAAATTTGTGTTAGTGTTAATATTAAATGGAATTATTAATTCCGATAATTAATTATCATCAATAACTGTTATTAAATAATTATCAAATTTGTTACTATAGAATATAAAGAACGTTGTGGAATATATTTTTGGAACTTATATTTTTTTCTAAAGATTATGAGATTTATGTGAATACTAAGAAGAAAAATTATTATCAGCTGTTAGTTTTATTATTGAATGGAATTATTAATTCTGATACTTAATTATCATCAATAACTGTTATTAAATGATTATTACATTTATTATTATAGAATATAAAGAATATTATGGAATATCATTTGGAAATTATATTTTTTTCTAACTTTTGTTTATATATTTTAAAACATGATTTAAAACACATATTTCCGAATGAAATAAAAGACGGTATCAATTGTCTCATTAAATATGAATAAATAAATACATTTTTATAATTGTTGCTTATAGAAATTCTGATTTTTATAATATTCATTTCAGTATAAATCTTGAGATAGGCAATGCATCCTCGCGAATAATAACAAAAGAGGTTCGGTCAAATTTTTGACAAAAATTTTGCTTGCGTTTCAGCTTAATATTCATTACATGAAAATATAATGAGCGATTAATTAAGAGCCCTATTATATTACTAACGCTCAACTCTCCGGATACATGTAAAAATGTACAATGCCATTAAAAAAATTTCGCTATTAAATTTCAACAATAATTTCCAACAAAATTAATTTTTACTCCGTTTTAATTTTCTCGCTATTATTACATTCATTGCATCTAGTATAAACTAATTTCATAAAAAGATCTGTAGAAAACAAATTTCCGTGTTTGTCACCCATGAAACGATATTAAATTTTCTCGAAAATTTCAGGCACTGGTGGATAACTTAATTAAATTTAATAGGAAATATCGATAAAATTATATTTCGAAATTTCTGATCAAGAATTTTGACAATCCATTGCAATTTATCACACTCAATATTTCATAATTACCTTCCATTTTTTTAATGCATATTATTGTTCCAACAATGATCCAAATTTATTAGTATCTTCATTTCGTAAAATATAAATTAATTCAAAAGTTTATTTAAAAAATTTAAAAAACTGAAATCATTATTCTTAGATTATACTTATATAAATAATTATATAAAGATGTACCTATTCAAATACATAGAAATATTAAAATATTTATACCATAAATTTAAATTATATTTGATTATTTACATTTATATCATAAATTACTTAAATATTTATATTTACGTAAAAGTTATTTACGAATCTATAAATATTGATATAAATATAATTATACACAATGTGAATTTTACTTATATAAAATTTTAGAGGAATATATCAATAATTATACAGCACGAAATTACGAATAATATACATAATAATACATAAAAATATTAAAATATTTATACCATAAATTTAAATTATATTTAATTATTTACATTTATGTCTTAATTATTTAAATACTTATATTTACGTAAAAATTATTTACGAAGCTATAAATATTGATATAAATATAATTATACACAAAGTGAATTTTATTTATACAAAATTTTAGAACAATATATCGATAATTATACAACACGAAGTTACAAATATCGCGAGTTTCGTCTTTCTATAGATGTCGTAAAACTAACAGGCGGAATGAGACCAAAAGATCACAGACAGGATGAAGAATCCTTAAATTCACAAATAAGCTTCATAATTCGTCCTAAAATGAAATTTCAAGAATATTTTCTTCTCAGGGGCTCGGAAATATTTTCACGCAAGAGTGAGACGAAAATGGAGGCACCCTTTGATGTTTACATCTTTGTTTCTTGTATTTCGTCCCAACGAAGATTTGCATTTTCTTTGGTAATATCCTGAAAAGGGATACCCACGTCTGTCTTAACGGAACAAATAACATTGGAGAAAGACTTTATGTATACGTATAGACGTAAAGAAGAGTTTCCCTCTTTTCTCCTATCTTTAATACAGCAACTTTCGTCTCGAGTTTTCCAGAGGACGCAAACATTTTTATGTCAACTATATCGAATCTTCAAACGAACGTTGTTTGTCTTCAGACAGAAACCTTTGACAGTGTTTTAATCCTGTGTCAAGTAAGATTTAAAAAGAGTTACAGGATCACGGTGTTCCTGATCTTCAAAAGAGTCGAACGACAAACTACGTGATTTAATCAGAAACTAGATTTCTCATGGTATTCGGGAATTTGATTTCAGTGCCAGTTGAAAAGTTGAAATCTGATTTTCAAATGGAAATGCTGCACTCTCAGTGGAATCATGCAAATTTTTCAAAAGTTTTTCGATAGATTATTTTCTTATTATGACAATTTTTGTGTTCCACTATTCACTTTCAACTGTACTTTTGAATCTCTGTTCTGTGAAATTATCCCAGCATGATTTATACATGTTATAATTTACACTTAGTATAGTATTTAGTATCTAGTATAATATAATTTTATTTACTGTTATATTACCTTAAAATAAAAATAAATAACATTTTTGTTAATATTAATAGTATTTTCATATTCAAATAATTGAAGTAATTAAATAAATAATATATCAATCTTTTAATATAGTATAATGATCAAATATCATAATGTTTTAATAAAATAATGTAATAATAGAGTGCAAGTCACAAAAGTTATTATAAATTAGCAAAAGCAAATTCTATTTTATTTATTTTATTTTTCTGTTCCAAATGATGATGAATTACTGCTTTCACGAGATTCTTCTTTAACTATAGTCACAGAAGAGACTGACACCTTTATCAGACATGAAGAGATGCCATATAAATTTTATTGGTAGGAAAGAATCGAATTATTTGTATTATTTATTTATATTATTACAATTGAAAGAAAGAATTTGAAGGAAAAAATATTTTACTTTTATTTCTAATTCAGCATATGTATGAAGGGTTAGAAAAGAAAGGAGGAATGTGTTTTAGTGAGTCTCGTATCTAGTACATTCATACTTAATGGTAATTAATAGCAAAGAATCGTCGAATAATTATTTTCTTGATTATCTCTATCTCTATAATGAGTCCAGTGGAATGTAAATATTTAAAATAACGTAATCCTACCATTACTTCGCTAATTTTCCTTCCTAATACTTTTTCAGAGCATAAGTCAAAGTTATTAAATCCTTTACCTAGTGTATCAAAGTATTAAAACTCAATTTTTTCCATAAAGATCTCTCGTGAAATTTCTTATTTCTGCCCGTTAACGTTACAATTTCGAAATATTCCATAAGAAATTCACGTCTCCGATATTTATTCTAAAAACATGAAAAGGTACTATCTATCCTCCGAGCTATTAAATAAGCAATCGCAATTTTCTCATCTCTTGTCCTACTTTTAATATTTTCGAAGCTTAATAGGATTTCCTTTTCTTCCATGCTATTCACGTATACCGAATGCACGACACTCTGTCATCAGGAGCATCGAGACTTGAAATTTGAACTGGGGTAGATGCTTGGTAAAATTAGAAAACGAGGAAGAAAAATAGAAAAAAAGAGGGGGAGAAAAATTTAATACTGTAGAAATAGATTAATCGAATTTCTTTTCCGGATTATTGGCGGATCTTCGTCTTTATTTTTCTCTCATCGGTGAATTCGAGGTCCCTCTATAGTGATCGATGATAAACATCGATATTCTCGATATCGTATTGTTCCAAAATTCACGAGTTCCACGTAAGTAAAGCGAAAATAGAAATTGCGCGACGAATGCAATTAAAAAAAAAATAATAATAAAAGGAAAAAGTACTTGAAAGGAAATAGGTTACCTGTGATAATTTAATTAATATGGTTGTAAATATATATCAGATACCGATGGTCTAATTAAGGCAGTCATAGAAATATTTCAGCTATCGATTATCTAATTAATGCAGTCATAGATATATTTAGACTAATTTATATGTTATTGTGTAATTAATTCATTTAATTTGTCCAATTTACTTATTTCATAATTTAGAGAATGATCGAGGTATTGAACAATTTAATTTTCTGCACGAAATGGCTCCATTTTATAAATTTTTGGTAATAATTTGCGTAATTGGAATTTCGGTACTAATTAGTATAACAAGCGAATTATGGTTATTAAGGTAATGATTATAAGTTGCAATTCAATTATGTTTCACTGAAATACACGCGAATCGAACAATTATCGTGTTGGTAATTAACGTGGTAATTTAAATGTCTATAGTTAAGGACATTTATTACATCCCATATATAATTGTTAATTGGATAACTTTCAGTGAAATTTGCAATCTGGATCCAATTAAATAGTGTAATCATTTTTTATTTGTGCCGCGAAATTCGAAACTTATGAAAGAATATTTTCATATCTATATTATAGCAAACGTATAAATTGAGTAATTCGAAATTCTAACAAAATTACAAAATTGGATATAATTAAATAATGAATGTTTATTATACCGTTCACTTAG